CTGCTCTGGCTGTAAAATAAAATCATCTGGGGCTCCCCTTTTTTAAAAATTGAGATGAAATTCACCTAACAGGCTGGAGGTGCGGTGGCTCAGCCTATAATCTCAGCACTTTGGGAGGCCAAGGCAGGTGGATCACGAGGTCAAGAGATCCGTACCATCTTGGCCAACATGGTGAAACCCCATGTCTACTAAAAATACAAAAATTAGTGGGGCGTGGTGGCGCATGCCTGTAGCCCCAGCTACTTGGGAGGCTGAGGCAGGAGAATTGCTTGAACCCGGGAGGTGGAGGCTTTGGTGAACTGAGATGGTGCCACTGCACTCCAGCCTGGCAACAGAGTGAGACTCTGTCTCAAAAAAAAAAAAAAAAAAAACACCTAACAAAATCTACCATTTCAATCATTTTAAGTGTATAATTTAGTGGTTTTTAGTAAATTCACAGTGTTGTACAATTATCACCACTTTCTAATTCCAAAACATTTCTATCACCCCCAAAATAAACCTTATATCCGTTAAGCAGTCATTGTACATTTTCCCCTACTCTATCTTCTGGTAATCACTAATCTGCTTTCTGCCTATGGATTTGCTTATTCTAGATGTTTCATATAAATAGAATCACACAGTATGTGCCTTTTATGTCTGGCTTCTTTCGCTTGGCATGTTTTCAAGGTTCATCCATGTTGTAGCATATATTAATACTTCATTCCTTTTGTTTCCCCATAGTGGCTACACCATTTTGCATTCGTATCAATAATACGATGTACTAGAGTTCCAGTTTCTTCAGCATCCTCACCAACACTAGTTATTTTCCATTATTTTTAAAATAGCCAGCCATCAGAGTGGGTATAAAGTGGTATTTCATTGTGGTTTTGATTTGTGTTTCCCTCATGACTAATGATTTGAGTATTTTTAAATATTTTTTTAGACAGGGGCTTAGTCTGTCACCCAGGCTGGAGTACTGTGGCGTGGATCTTGGTTCACTGCAGCCTTGACACCCTGGGCTCAATTGATCCTCCATCCTCCCACCTAAGCCTCCCAACTAGCTGGGACTACAGGTACGCCACCACATCTGGCTAAATTTTGTATTTTTTTGTATAGGGTTTTGCCATGTTTTCTGGGCTCGTCTCAGACTCCCAGGCTCAAGTGATCCACCAGTCTCGGCCTCTCAGAGTGTTGGGATTACAGACTGGGATTATAGTCCACTGTGACTCAAGTGATCCACCAGTCTCGGCCTCTTAGAGTGTTGGGATTACAGCCCACTGTGCCGGGTTACTTTTGCATTTGATGTCTTTTTCTTTTTTTTTGGAAACAGGGCCTTGCTCTGTTGCCCAGGCTGGAGTGCAATGGTGTGATCACAGCTTACTGCAGCCTCAACCTTCTTTTTTTTTTTTTTTTGAGACGGAGTCTCGCTCTGTCGCCCAGGTTGGAGTGCGGTGGCGCGATCTCGGCTCACTGCAAGCTCCGCCTCCCGGGTTCATGCCATTCTCCTGCCTCAGCCTCCCGAGTGGCTGGGACTACAGGCGCCCGCCACAATGCCCGGCTAATTTTTTGTATTTTTCAGTAGAGATGGGGTTTCACCGTGTTAGCCAGGATGGTCTCGATTTCCTGAACTCGTGATCCGCCTGCCTTGGCCTCCCAAAGTGCTGGGATTACAGACGTAAGCCACCGCGCCCGGCCTGCAGCCTCAACCTTCTGGGCTTAGGCGATCCCTCCTCCTTAGCCTGCCAAGTAGCTGGGACTGCAGGCATTAGCTGCTATGCCTGGCTAATTTTTATTTTTATTTTATTATTATTTTTTGAGACAGGGTCTCGCTCTGTCACCCAGGCTGGAGGGCAGTGGTGTGATCTTGGCTCACTGCAACCATGTTGGCCAGGCTGGTCTTGAGTTCCTCACCTCAGGTGATACACCCACCTCAGCCTCCTAAAGTGCTGGGATTATAGACATGAGCCACTGTGCCTGGCCAGAAATAACATTTTTAAAATTTCAGTTTTGATTGTTTAGGGCTAGCATATAGGAATGCAATTGATTTTTGTGTGTTGACTTGTTTCCTGCATTGATACAAGGCAAGATGAACCTTGATGAACTGTTGATTAGTTGTAATAGTTTTTTTGTTGTTGTTGTTTTGAGATGGAGTTTCACTCTTGTTGCCCAGGCTGGAGTGCCTAATAGCACGATCTTGGGTCACCTGCAACCTCCACCTCCCGGGTTTAAGCAATTCTCCTGCCTCAGCCTCCCAAGTAGCTGGGATTACAGGTACCTGCCACCACGCCTGGCTAATTTTTGTTTTTGTTTTTTTTTTTTGAGACAGAGTCTCACTCTGTTGCCCAGGCTGGAGTGCAATGGCACCATCTTAGCTCACTGCAAGCTCCGCCTCCCATGTTCATGCCGTTCTCCTGCCTCAGCCTCCTGAGTAGCTGAGACTACAGGCGCCTGCCACCACGCCCGGCTAATTTTTTATATTTTTAGTAGAGACGGGGTTTCACCGTATGGGCCAGGCTAGTCTCAAACTCCTGACCTCAAGTGATCCGCCTGCCTCAGCCTCCCAAAGTGCTGGGATTACAAGTGTGAGTCACTGCACCTGGCCTCTAATAGTTTTTTAATGTGTTTCTTAGTGTTTTTTTTTTTTTGAACACAGGTCATGTCATCTGCAAATCATAATAGTTTTACTTCTTTCTAAGTTGAATATCTTTTATTTCTCTTTGCTTAATTGTTCTGCCTAGAACCCTAAGTATAATGTTCAATGATGAAAGCAGACATTGTTTTTTTTGAGACAACCTCGCCCTGTTGCCCAGGCTGCAGTGACTGGGACCACAGGCTTGCCACCATTGTTCAGCTAATTTTTTTATTTTTTATAGAGACAGGGTCTTGCTATGTTGATGACGCTGGTATCTTAACTTGTGGGCTCAAGCCATCCTCCCGCCTTGGCCTCCCAAAGTACTGGGATTATAGGGGTGAGCCACTGTGCCCAGCCTCTTTTTTTCTTTTTGAGACAGGGTCTTGCTCTGTTGCCCAGTTGCCTAGGCTGAAGTTCATTGGCATGATCATAGCTCATGGCAGTTTCAGACACACTCAAGCTGTCGTCCTGCCTCAGCCTCTTGAGTAGCTGGGACTGTAGGTGCTCAACACTGTGCCTTGCTAACTTTTTTTTTTTTTTTTTTGAGATGAAGTCTCGCTCTGGCACCCAGGCTGGAGTGCAGTGGCACAATCTCAGCTCACTGCAACCTCCGCCTCCTGAGTTCAAGTGATTCTCCTGCCTCAGCCTCTGGAGTAGCTGGGATTACAGTCGCACGCCACCACACCAAGCTAATTTTTGTATTTTTAGTAGAGATGGGGTTTTACCATGTTGGCCAGGCTGGGCTTGAACTCCTGACCTCAGGTGATCAGCCCACCTCGGCCTTCCATCCTGTAGAGACAGGATGCCGTGTCTTGTCTCCACAAAAAAAAAAAACAAAAAAACATTGCATAGGATGGTCTCAAATTCCTTGACCTCAAGTGATCCTCCTGCCTTGGCCTCCCAAAGTGTTGGGATTACAGGGGTGAGCCACTGTGCCCAGCTGAAAGGAAACTTTCTTGTTTTGCTCCTTGTTGAAAGGAGAAAGCATTTAGTCTTTTACCTTTAAATATGACGTTAGCTTATTAGTTATGGGATTTTTGTAGATGTTCTTTATCAGGTTGAGGCATTTGGTATTTAAAAAATCTTAACCTAGGTAACATAGTGAGATCCTATCTTACAAGGAATAAAAAGTAAATTAGCCAGGTATGCTGGCACACCCCTGTGGCCCCAGCTGCACAGGAAGCTGAGGTGTGGGAGGGTTGCTTGAGCCAAGGAGGACGAGGCGATCGTGAGCTACGATCATGCACCCTAGCCTGGCCAACAGAGCGAGACCTCGTCTCAAAAAAGAAGAAAAACTTGTAAGTAAATTATAATATGTAGTCAAGGAAAGCAGTTATCTAAATTGATGTTTAAAGAACTAGGATACATTTCTATATTATTGATACTGAAATTTCACCAGGGAGAATGAGATTTGTATATTTATATAGTTTTTTTGTTTGTTTGTTTTTGAGACAGAATTTCCCTCTTGTCGCCCAGGCTGGAATGCAGTGGCGTAATCTCTGCTCACTGCAGCCTCTGCCTCCTGGGTTCAGTGATTCTCCTGCCTCAGTCTCCTTAGTAGAGTAGCTGGAATTACAGGCACACGCTACCATGCCCGGCCAATTTTTGTATTTTTAGTAGAGACACGGTTTCCCCATGTTGGCCAGGCTGGTCTGTAACTCCTCACGTCAAATGATCCACCCGCCTCAGCTTCCCAAAGTGCTGGGATTACAGGCGTGAGCCACCGTGCCTGGTCTGTGTTTCCCTCTATAGAAAAAAAACATTTTTTCCCTATATTTTTCTAAAAAAAATTCCTCTATATTTTTAATAAGTAGTAGACTAGTTAAGAAATCCAGTTTTACTTCTGTTAAATAGGGTTATCTTTTCCTTTTACAAGATTAAATTGAGGCTGGGCACGGTGACTCACTTCTGTAACCCCAACACTTTGGGAGGCCAACGTGGGCAGATCACCTGAGGTCAGGAGTTCAATACCAGCCTGACCAACATGGTGAAACCCCTTCTCTACAAAAATACAAAAATTAGGCTGGGTGTGGTGGCTCATGTCTGTAATCCCAGCACTATGGGAGGCTGAGGCGGTGGATCACCTGAGGTCAGGAGTTTGAGACCAGCCTGGCCAACATGGTAAAACCCTATCTGTACTAAAAATACAAAAATTAACCAGTGTGGTGGCACGTGCCTGTAGTCCCAGCTACTGGGGAGGCTGAGGCAGGAGGATTGCTTGAATTGAGAGGCAGCGGTTGCAGTGAGCCAAGATCGTGCCACTGCACTCCACCCTGGGCAACAAAGCGATACCGTCACAAATAAAAGACTAAGTTGAATAGCTTCTAGAAAACTTTAAGTAAATTTTGATCTTTTTATTCTAGACAAAATTATTGTCCTTTTATTCTAGACAAAAGGATGCCACGGAGAAAGAAAAAAGTTAAAGAAGTCTCCGAATCTCAGAACCTGGAGAAGAAGGATGTGGAAACTACCAGTTCTTTCAGTGTGAAGAGGAAGCGTAGACTTGAGGATGCATTCATTGTGATATCTGATAGTGATGGAGAGGTAAGTAAAGTAGAGCTGAAAAGTAGAGCTGTAGCTCTCAAACTATGCTTCTTTAACCATGGGGAGTATGTTTCGTGACTGACGTCACCTTAATGCCAGCTCACCAAAACCATGAAATTTTTACTCAACTTTGTTTTACTTTGTAAATGGAGTTAAGAATTACTTAAGGAAGTAATCCTGTTGCTTAGTTGAGGATGGATCATAGTTCTTCAGTTTTGTGATATAGTAATCCAAAGTGGCATTTTGGAACTATTTGAATAATCTAAATCAATTGAAAATCTTAGTTTTGATATGTCTAGAAAGTGAGAGGAAAAACGTGAATGTTTTCAAATCTTTTGATATGTTCTAGATATAATAGCACCTAGTCACCTATAGCTGTTTAAAAATAACTGAAATTAAAAATCAACTTCTCGGCCGGGCGCGGTGGCTCAAGCCTGTAATCCCAGCACTTTGGGAGGCCGAGACGGGCGGATCACGAGGTCAGGAGATCGAGACCATCCTGGCAACACGTGGCAAAGCCCCCGTCTCTACTAAAAAATACAAAAAAAAAACTAGCCCGGGCGAGCGGGGCGCCGACGCCTGTAGTCCAGCTTACTCGGGAGGCCTGAGGCAGGAGAATGGCGTAAACCTGGGAGGCGGAGCTTGCAGTGAGCTGAGATCCGGCCACTGCACTCCAGGCCTCGGGGGCGAACAGAGCAAGACTCTGTCTAAAAAAAAAAAAAAAAAAAAAAATCAACTTCTCTGTTGCACTAGTCACATTTCAAGTGATTAAAGACACATAAGGCTAGTGTCAATTGTATTAGACAGCAGAGCTATATGACATTTTTAGCATTTTAGAAAGCTTTATTCTCCAGAATAAAGATTGTAACCTTTTTCCTTTATCCTGTATTTCCATTTGTTTATTGGAGTTTTCTACCTGCCTTCAGGTCTCATCTCAAAGGCAGTGAATTAACTCATTGTTTTTTCCTTCAGATTTTCTTATCTTTCTCCTGTACTTTTTTTTTTTTTTTTTTTTTTCTGGAGCCAGGTTCTCCCTCTGGTCATGTAGGCTGGAGTTTGGTGTTAGCTCAGCTCACTCCAGCTTCCTTCTCCTGGTCCCACCTCAGCCCCCATGTAGCTGGGACTACAGGTGCGAGCCATTACGCCTGGCTAATTTTTGTATTTTTTTTGTAGAGATGGGATTTCGCCATGTTGCCCAGGATGGTTTTGAACTCCCAGCCTCAAGCAATCCTGCCTCGGCCTCCTGAAGTGCTGGTTTTACAGGTGTGAGCCACTGCATCTGGCCAAAAGATGACGTATTTTTGGTTAGCAAGATTGAGCATTTCTTTACATCTTTATTGGTTTTTAAAAAACGTTTCTTGGCTGGGTGTGGCAGCTCATGCCTATAATCCCAGCACTTTGGGAGGCTGAGGCGAGCGTATCACAAAGTCAGGAGATTGAGACCATCCTGGCTAACCTGGTCAAAGCCCGTCTCTACTAAAAATACCAAAAATTAGCCGGGTGTGGTGGAACGTGCCTGTAGTCCCAGCCTCTCAGGAGGCTGAGGCAGGAGAATTGCTTGAATCCCAGAGGCAGAGGTTGCAGTGAGCTGAGATCGTACCACTGCACTCCAGCCTGGGTGACAGAGGGAGACTCTGTCTCAAAAACAAAGCAAAACCAAACCACGTTCCTTATAGTTTAGTTTTTAATTAGGACTTTTGTCTATATAGTTCATCTTAAGTGCATAAAAGTATAGAGAAGAAAACAAGGGCTAGGTACATCCCTGGTGACTCATGCCTATAATCCCAGTGCTTCGGGAAGCTGAGACAGGAGGATTGCTTGAGGCCAGGCATTTGAGACCAGCCTGAGCAACACAGAAAGACCCTGTCTCTACAAAAAGTACAAAACTTAGCTGGGCATGGTGGCATGCGCCTGTAATCCCAGATACCTGGGAAGCTGAGGCAGGTGGGAGAATTGCTTGAGCCTAGGAGTTCAAGGAATTTGAGACTGCAGTGAGCTATGATTGTACCATTGCACTCCATCTGAAAAAGAAAGAAAACAAAACAGTTGTATTACTTGGATATCATCTTAATATTAACAAAAATAAAAATATTAAATACACAAATAGATACGGATATGTTAAAAAAGTTGTATACATAGATGTTTAAAAAAAAAACCAAGCCATAACAAAACAGTTTAGAAAGGTATGAAATGAAAATGTATACTACAGCTTAACCATAAGAAATAATTTTTGAGACGGAGTCTTGCTCTGTCCCCCAGGCTGGAGTGCAGTGGCGCGATCTCGGCTCACTGCAAGCTCCGCCTCCTGGGTTTACGCCATTCTCCTGCCTCAGCCTCCCGAGTAGCTGGGACTACAGGCACCCGCCACCTCGCCCGGCTAGTTTTTTGTATTTTTAGTAGAGATGGGGTTTCACCGCGTTAACCAGGATGGTCTCGATCTCCTGACCTTGTGATCCGCCCGCCTCGGCCTCCCAAAGTGCTGGGATTACAGGCTTGAGCCACCGCGCCCGGCCTCTTTTTCATTTTTAAAATAATTTCTTGATGTCATCCGTGTGATCCGAAGGCAATAATTTCTTCTGTGTCCTTGGAAAAAAATTTTTACGTATACAGTATCAGTAGAGATTTTTACAGGAAACAAATCATACTGTAGAAACTGTTTTGCTTTTTTTCCACTTAATGTCTGTGTTAGGTCCTCCAGAGACATAGAACCAATAGGATGGGCAGATGGATGGATGGATGGATGGATGGATGGATGGATGGATGCATGGATGGACGGACGGACGGACGGACGGACGGAATTTATTAGGGGAATTGGCTCATGTAATTATGGAGAATGAAAACTCCCCACAATAGGCTGTTTGCAAGCTGGATACCCTGGGATGCCAGTAGTATGGCTCAGTGCAAGTCTGAAGGCCTGAGAACAAGGGGTAAGGGGTGCTGAGTGTAAGGCCTGAAATCCAAGGCCTGGAGAGCCTGGAGTTCTGATGTCCAAGGGTAGGAGAAGAATAATGTGTCCCAGCTCCAGGAGAGAGATAAATTTGCCTTTCCTATGTTTTTATTCTATTTAGCCCCCAGCCAGTTGAGTGGTGTTCACCCACATTGAGAGCAGATCTTCCCCACTCAGTCACTGAGACTCACACTCCAATCTCCTCTGCAAACACCCGCACAGACACACCAGAAAATAATACTTTACTAGTTCTCTGGGTATTTCTTACTCCAGTCAAACTGATACCTAAAATTAACCATTACAGTATTTCCTGGAGACCTTTCTATAGCAGCACATATGTATGTCATATGTCATATATGTTATACATACAGAAATGTGCATAAAATAAAAATGCATAGTTTTAAAAATTAATGTGAACACTTGTAGTTACCACCTGAGAATCCCTCTTCTCTTAGTGTGTCCCTCCCCAAATGCATTCTTTTCCAACTTACTTTTGTTTTTTTTTGAGATGGAGTCCTGCTCTGTCGCCCAGGCTGGAGTGTAGTGGCGCGATCTCAGCTCACTGCAACCTCCGCCTCCCAGGCTCAAGCAATTCTCCTGCCTCAGCCTCCTGAGTAGCTAGGATTACAGGCATGCGCCACCACGCCTCACTAATTTTTGTATTTTTAGTAGAGATGAGGTTTCACCATGTTGGCCAGGCTGGTCTCGAACTCCTGACCTCAGGTGATCCGTCCGCCTTGGCCTCCCGGAGTAGTGGGATTACAGGCGTGAGCCACCTCACCCAGCTCTTTTCTACCTTTCTGAAGGTAACCACTGTTTGTTTTATCTTCCCATATTTCTCCTTACAGTTTTACCACATTTACATGTATTCCTAAACAGCATACATATATTTTGAAAAACTAAGTACTGGTGATTAGACATGTCTACCAGTATTTTCCAGTAATCTCTCAATTCCCCAGATATTTGAAATTTTCCCTTTATCATAAACTAAAATCTTGTTTATAAATGGGTGTGTCTCTGGATTTTTTTCTTCCATTAATCTGTCACATATTTTTATAATTGTTCAGTTGGTTGTCTTGGGTATTTTAGGTAGGCATTTATCTCTGCTGATAACGACCATTTTTTTCTCTTTCTTTCTAGCACTTACACCTTTTTCTGTTTTGTTTTCATTGCTTTAGCTGTGGCTTCCAGAATAATGTTGATTGATACTAGCAATAGAGCACATCTTTTATTTCTGATGTTTTGCTATTTGTTTCATATTTCTGTTTTTATGTTAAGGAACTATCCTTTAATTGCTTATTTACTAGTAGTAGTTTTAGGAATTATGTTTAATCAAATACCCTTTATTTAGCAAGATGATGGAGTAGTTTTTCTCCTTTAATCAACTAATATTATATATTGGATTAGTATTTTCTAATGTTGGAACATCTTTGCATTTCTGGAATAAATGATGCTTGGTCATGATGTGTTATGTTAATATAATATTGATTTTTTTTCTCAATATATTATTTAGGAGTTTTGCATCTGTACTCCTAGTGCCATTGGCTTTATAAAGTTTTTTTGGGGGGGGGCTATGGCCTTCATCAGATGTTAATATTAGGGTTATGGTATAAAAGAGAAGGAAAGCTTATTATTTTTTTCTATGTCCTACCACAATTTAAATAGTATAGGAATTATTTGTTTTACAGGGTTTCCTAAAAATCTCCCGTAAAACTGGGCTACCAACTGATTTTTTTTTTTTTTGAAATGGAGTCTCGCTCTGTCGCCCAGGCTGGAGTCTCCCTCTGTTGCCCAGGCTGGAGTGCAGTGGCGTGATCTCTGCTCATTGCGAACTCCACCTGCTGGGTTCACGCCATTCTCCTGCTTCAGCCTCCTGAGTAGCTGGGACTACCGGCGCCCATTACCACGCCCGGCTAATTTTTTTTTTTATTTTTAGTAGAGATGGGGTTTCACCATGTTAGCCAGGATGGTCTCGATCTCCTGACCTTGTGACCCACCTGCCTCAGCCTCCCAAAGTGCTGGGATTACAGGCGTGAGCCACCGCTCCCGGCCTACCAACTGATTTTTAATATGTATTTCATATTCTTGTAGTGTCTTGGTATTGTTGTATATGGAAAAAAGTCTTTTTTTCTGCTTTAGAATAGAAAAAAGCAGTTGGAATCATCTTAGGAACACATTTGTTTGTTTTTTGTTTTGTTATTTATTTTTATTTTTTTAATATGTATTTTTTTGAGATGGAGTCTTGCTTTGTTGCCCAAGCTGGAGTGCAATGGCATGATAGCGGCTCACTGCAACCTCCGCCTCCTGGTTCAAGTGATTCTGCCTGCCTCAGCCTGCGGAGTAACTGGGATTAAAGGTGCCTGCCACCACACCTGTGTAATTTTTGTATTTTTAGTAGAGGGGGGATTTTACCATGTTGGCCAGGCTGGTCTCGAACTCCTGACCTCAGATGATCTGCCCACCTTGGCCTTCTAAAGTGTTGGGATTACAGGCGTGAGCCACTGCACCTGGCCTTTGTTTTTGTTTGTTTTTTTTGTTTGTTTTTTTGAGACAGAGTCTTGCTTTGTCATCCAGGCTGGAGTACAGTGGCACAGTGATGTGATCTTGGCTCACTGCAGTCTCCATTAATAGTATGTACTTTATATGATTTTCATCATTTTTTTTTTTTTGCATCATTTTTAAACTTAGTCAAACTTGTTTTATGGCCCAGAATATTCTGTGTGTACTACAGAAGAATGCACATTTTGGATAGTGATTTCTGTAAATGTCAATCTGATAAAGTTTGATGATAGTGTTGTTCAAATCTACTTTATATTTATTGGTTTTCTGTCTGTTCTACAAATATTTTGAGGCTATTGAAGTCTTTGACCGTAATTTTGAATTTGTCTTACTTCTCTTTTTTTTTTTTTTTGAGACAGTCTTACTCTGTTGCCTTAGGCTGTAGTGCAGTGGTGCGATCTTGGCTCACTGCAACCTCTGCCTCCTGGGTTCAATTGATTCTCATGCCTCAGCCTCCTGAGTAGCTGGGATTACAGGCATATGCCACCATGCCTGGCTAATTTTTGTATTTTTAGTAGAGATTGGGTTTCACCATGTTAGCCAGGCTGGTCTCGAACTTCTGACCTCAGGTGATCCGCCCACCTGGGCCTCCCAAAGTGCTGGGATTACAGGTGTGAGCCACTGCACCTGGCCCACAGTTAATTTTAGAACATTTTCCACCCTCCATGGCCACTGCCCTCGCCAGCCTCACACCACACTATACTCTGCCAGTCTGCATGGCCCAGTAGCAGCGGCCTAGAACATTTTCATTACCCCCCAGAAAAAAACCCATTTTCATTAGCGGTTACTCTCCATTTTCCCCTAAACCCCTAGCCCTTGACAACCGCTAATCTACTTTCTATATGGATTTGCCCATTCTGGGCATGTCTTATAAATGGAATTATATGATATATGTGTGGCCTTTTGTCTGGCTTCTTTCAATTATGTATTTTCAAGGTACATTCATTTTGTAGTGTGTATCAGCACCTAATTTCTTTTTTGTCCACAGTGGTGGCACTGTTTTATATTCCCACCAACAGTGTACTAGGATTCCAGTTTTTCTAATCCTTGCCAATGCTTATTTTCTGATTTGAAACAAATTATTTTAATTATCCTAGTGGGTGTGAAGTGATACCTTATTGTGATTTTGATTTGTATTTCCCTGATGACTAATGATGTTGGGCATCTTTTCATGTACTTCTTGGACATTTCTATATCTTCATTTTCAGAGAAATTCTGTTCAAACGCTTTGCCCAGTTTTATTTTTATTTATTTATTTTTAGAGATGGGATGTTGCTTTGTCTCCCAGGCTGGAATACAGTGGTGCTATCTTAGCTTGCTGCAGCCTGGAAGTCCTGGGTTCAAGTGATCCATCTGCTCCAGCCTCCTGAATAGCTAGGACCATGCCTGGCTAATTAAAGAAAAAATAAAAATTTTTTTTTTATTTAAAAATAATTTTTTTTGGGAGGAGGTAAGGACAGGATCTCCCTACATTCCCCAGAATGGTTTTGAACTGGCCTCAAGCTATTCTCCCACTTCAAAGTGTTGGGATTACAGGCATGAGCCACTGTGCCTGGCCTTTTATTTCTTTCTCTTTTATTTTTTGTTTTCTTGATTATTTTGTTTGTGTTTCTTATTAAATTTTAGGGTGGGATGTAGGGTTGGTGTATTTGGTTCACTTTTGCTTCTATAGGGTTTTTCATTTACCCTCTTTTTCCTTTCCTTTACTATCCAGTGTCAAAAGAGTGATTTAAAATAAATGAATAAACACTGAGTTTAAACATTATTATTGTTTTTTTAAATCTTCAATCAAGCTACTCTGATCTCAGGTGATGCTTACTGGTATTTTAGAGATAGACTAGTTTTTGTGTGACTGTTTATATGATAGATAATAATGCCAATATATCACACGTTTTTGTTTTTAATGGTTTTTATTGGTTCTAGATCTTATGTTTTCCTTTTTGTACTGAAAAGGATCTTCTGATGTTTTATGTGCATATTTATAACAATCATCAATTCCTCAGAGGCCTCTCTTAGTCATAGAGGAGGTAGAAGAGAGAGAAATTACTACTTTTAGTGGCAGCCACACCGATCATATTTCTTGTTTTGCAACAGGAACCAAAGGAGGAAAATGGATTGCAGAAAATGAAGACAAAACCGTCGAATAGAGCAAAGTGTTTGGCCAAAAGAAAAATTGCACGTATGTTTTCATTTTTGTTGAGAATGGTTTGGGAATTGTAATAGTCATAGAACTGATACATTTTGGGCTAGTTGATTATCTTGCATTCTTAGCTCTCTGATAGATTCAAGAAAAGTTGTGAATTTATCAGTTTTTGTTGCTATTGTCGTAAGGATTGGAAGAATAACTTTTTTCAGTTTCCTGTATCTTTAGTGGAATCCAGAAGTGGTCATTCTGAATCTTAAAAAAATTTTTTAAAAATTTATTATTTTTTTAGAGACAGAATCTCACTGTGTCACCCAGGCTTGAGTGTAGGGGTATGGTATGATCATAGTTCACTGCAGCCTTGAACTCATTGGCTCAAGTGATTCTCCTGTCTCAGCTTCCCAAGTATGCCCCACAACGCCTGGCTAATTTTAATTTTTTTTTTTTACACAGAGTCCTGCTGTGTTGTCCAGGCTCATCTCAAACTCCTGGCCTCAAGCAGTCCTCCAGTTTGGGCCTCCCAGTGTTGGGATTACAGGCGCCAGCCACCAGTTAGCCCCCCATTCTGAATCTTACTGAGCAGCAAAATCTGTTTTTATGATTTCTTTTTTTTTTTTTTTGAGATTGAGTCGTGCTCTGTCGCCCAGGCTGAGTGCACTGGTGTGATCTTGGCTCACTGCAAGCTCTGCCTCCCGGGTTCATACAATTCTCCCACCTCAGCCTCCTGAGTAGCTAGACCTATAGGCACACGTCACTACACCCTGCTAATGTTTGCCAGGCTAATCTCTAGCTCCTGACCTCAAGCGATCCACCCGCCTCAGCCTCCCAAAGTGCTGGGATTATAGGCATGAGCCACCACGCCTGGCCAGAACAGAAGTTTTAAACTTTGATGTGGTCCATTTTTTTCTCTTTTATGGTTTTTTTTCTTTCTGTGTCCTAAGAAATCTTTGACTACACTAAGGTTATGAAGATTTCCACCTATTTTCTTCTGGAAATTTTGTAGTTTTAGCTTTAGCATTTAGATTTCTAATCCATTTTGAGTTTTTGTATATGGTGCAAGGTAAGAGTTAAGGTTCATTTTTTTTTCCATATGGGTATCCAGTCATTCTTGTACCATTTGTTGAAAAGACTATCCTTTCCTTGTGTTGAAAATCAATGCATGGGTCTATTTCTGAATTTTCTGTTCTTTTCCATTTATTTATGTTTGTCATTATGCCATACCACACTGTCTTGATTACTGTAGCTTTATAATATCTTAAAATCAGGTAGTATAATTCTTCCAACTTTATTTTAAAAATTGTTTTAATCTGGGTCCTTTGCATTCCTGTATAAATTTAATTTTATTATTTATTTATTATTATTATTTTTTGAGACAAGGTCCCACTCTGCCACCCAGGCTGGAATATAGTGGTGTGGGTGCAGCACACTGTAGTCTCAACCTCCTAGGCTCAAGTGGTCCTCCAGCCTTAGCCTCCTGAGTAGCTGGGACTAACAGGCATGCATCACCATACCCAGCTAACTTTTTTTTTCTTTCTTTTTGAGACAGGGTCTCCCTCTGTTGCCCAGGTTGGAATGCAGTAGCTCACTACAACCTCTGCCTCCTGGGCACAAGCGATCCTCCCACCTCAGCCTCCCAAGTAGCTAGGACCACAGGTGTATACCACCACACCCAGCTAGTTTTTTATTATTTGTCCAGACAAGATCTCACTATGTTGCCCAGGCTGGTCTTGAACTGCTGGGCTCAAGTGATTCTCCCACCTCTGCCTCCTGAGTAGCTGGGACTATAGGTGTGCATCACCACACCCAACTATTTTTAAAAATTTGTTTTCTTCTTTTCTTTCTTTCTTTCTTTCTTTTTTTTTTTTTTTGAGACAGGGTCTCGCTTTGTCACCTATGCTGGAATGCATTGATGTGATCTTGGCTCACTGCAGCCTCGACCACCTGGACTTGAGCAATTATAGGCATGAGCCACTGCACTGGCCCTATTTTTCATTGCTATTCTCCTGAGGCGCCTTTTTAGACTATTTTTCCCTCTAACCATTGCCATCCCCATGATATTTTAATACCACAGATATGCTATGTGTTCTGTTTATGTACTGATTGTATGTCTGTATTTTATACATAAGATTTTTTTTTTTTGACCTCCAAGAACCAATTTTTGTCCACTTGGGAATGGTACCGCTCTTGTTGAGAATGCGTGATAGAAGTTGCCAGACTTGGCCTTGCACAGTGGCTCATGCCTGTGATCCCAGCACTTTGGGAGGCCAAGACGGGTGGATCACCTGAGGCCAGGAGTTTGAGACCAGGCTGGCCAACATGGTGAAACCTCGTCTCTACTAAAAATACAAAAATTAGCCAGGCCTGGTGGCGGACACCTATAATCCCAGCTACTCAGGAGGCTGAGGCAGGAGAATCACTTGTAACTGGGAGGCGGAGGTTGCAGTGAGCCGAGATCACGCCACTGCACTCCAGCCTGGGCGACAGAGAGAGACGCCCTGGCTGATTTTTTTGTATTTTTTTAGTTGAGATGAGGTTTCACTGTGTTAGCCAGGATGGTCTCGATCTCCTGACCTTGTGATCCGCCCGCCTTGGCCTCCCAAAGTGCTGGCATGAGCCATTGTGCCCGGCCAGAATTAATTTTTTGTTTAATTTTTTCTGTGTTGTATGCCCATCTTTCATTTTATTGATTTCTTTCTGTTCTTTATGTTTTTTTTCTTTCTCCTTACTTGGGTTAATTTTACTCTTTATATTCTAGCATTTTAAGGTGGGAAACTCGGATTACTGATTTTAAAATTTTGCCTTATATGAGCATGGAAAACTATAAATTTCACTATAAATGTGGCTTTTGTTGCATCCTACAGATTCTGATAGTTTTCATTTTCATTAAGGTCATTTCAAATTCAGTTGGGTGCATTTTTTATGTTTGGATTCAATTTTAGTGATCCCCTGTACTTGTTGATTTTGTATTATTAAAACATGTTTAAGATTTGTGTGATTCCATATGTCAAAGTTATACAAAAAAATATAGTCAAAGAAGTGTCATTTCCTCTCTTGTGCCCTTCACTCTGTTCTCAACCACTGATAGGTAATCGTTTGCATTAGTTTCTGGTTTATCTTTCTTTCTTTCTTTTTCTTTTTTTTCTTTTTTTTTTTTGTGAGACCAGAGAGTCTCTGTGTCACTCAGGCTAGAGTGCAGTAGTGTGATCTTGGCTTGCCTCCTGAGTTCAAGGGATTCTCCTGTCTCAGTCTCCAGAGTATCTGGGACTACAGGTGCTATGTTAGCACTATGTTATACTATGTTAGCCAGGATGGTCTTGATCTCGTGACCTCATGATCCACCCACCTCGGCCTCCCGAAGTGCTGGGATTACAGGCATGAGCCACCACGCCTTATCAGTTTTCATATAGTTGATTCACTAACATTCTTCAACAGTGACTGGTTAGTCAATGTCTTTTTAAAAAAATATTAGTATGAACTTACAGGGTTTTTTTTGTTTTGTTTTGTTTTGTTTTTGAGATGGAGTCTTGCTTTTGTCACCTAGGGTGGAGTGCACGATTTTGGCTCACTGCAACCTCCGCCTCCCGGGTTCAAATGATTCGCCTTCCTCAGCCTCCCAAGTAGGTGGGACTACAGGCACCCACCACCACGCCTGGCTAATTTTTGTATTTTTAGTAGAGATGGGGTTTCACCGTGTTGTCCATGATGATCTCGAACTCGCGACCTCACATGATGCTCCCACCTTGGCCTCCCACCGTCCTGGGATTACAGGCATGAGCCACCACACCTGGCCTGAACTTACAGATGTAATATAGATGTAACTACAGATGTAAATATATTTGATGTAGTTTAATGCATTGCATTCATTATCTTTTTTTTTTTTTTTGAGATGGAGTCTCCCTCTGTCGCCCAGGCTGGAGTGCAGTGGCCAGATCTCAGCTCACTGCAAGCTCCGCCTCCTGGGTTTACGCCATTCTCCTGCCTCAGCCTCCTGAGTAGCTGGGACTACAGGCGCCCACCACCTCGCCCAGCTAGTTTTTTGTATTTTTTTTAGTAGAGACGGGGTTTCACCGTGTTAGCCAGGATAGTCTCGATCTCCTGACCTCGTGATCCACCCGTCTCAGCCTCCCAAAGTGCTGGGGTTACAGGCTTGAGCCACCGCGCCCGGCCCGCATTCATTATCTTTATTGATGCTCTAGTTTCATTTTTGGCCAGTGAGGAGTCTGTTTAATTGGCCCCTAAGTTCTTTCGATATGACTCTAGTAGTGTCTAATAGATTCCTTGCTTACATCTGTGACAAATATTCTAGCTCATCTTGTTCATTTCATGCTTTGTACTTGAGGCCACCCATTTCTTCAGTGTACCCCAGTTCCTTTTAAATGGAAAATAGTGTCTGGAGACCACATTCTTGTCACTAGGGATGTTCTTTTCTACTGGGTAAATCAGAGGATTCTGAGTACTAAAATTATTCTGGCTAAATGTTGAGCATAAAGCATTGTGGATTTAGTAAAAAGCTCTAGAGTGGGCATTAATTCCTCTATTTATTCATTGAGCAAATATTTATTACGTACCCTATGCCCAGCACTTTTTTATGTGCTGGAGGTATAACAGTGAACAGTGTAGGTGAAAACTCAGCCTTCATGGGAGCTTACAGCCTAGTTAACCCAGGATTCTTGTTGTAACTGCTGCTAATTATCTTGACCAACACCTTACCTTTTGGGGTTTTCCTTCTTTACAAGATTATAAAATTGTACGGTCTTGTAATGTCTTCAGTTGAAAAGTTTAATAATTCTCTTTCTTGCCTCCATGCTTATTCAGTGTTTGTGGTGTCCCTCCCTCTCTTTTCCCTACCCTCTTATAGAGATGACAGAAGAAGAACAGTTTGCTCTGGCTCTCAAAATGAGTGAGCAGGAAGCTAGGGAAGTGAACAGCCAGGAGGAGGAAGAGGAGGAGCTCTTGAGGAAAGCCATTGCTGAAAGCCTGAATGTAAATATGCCATGTTGCAAAAGTTTGTGGAGATTGATCAGCAATATTTTAGACTTCTGTGGTGTCGTAGTTGCATTAGGAACTAGCTGTAGTCATTTATAGGGTTTTCACCTAATAGAAATTCCCATAGTAATTTTTTAAAGTCTGTGTTGAATTGTTGGTTAACCCAATTTGAAGTGTTTTGTTAATTCTATATGAAAGAGTTTTCTTCCACCCATGGATTTTTTAGTTCATGGTTGAAAAGAATTATCATAAGTTAACAGCTTCTGAAAAGACTTACTGAATACCAAGAACCCAAAAGGCAGCAAGATAAGATGCTAACTTCTCCTGTTTTGTGGGAGAGCAAAGGGGATGAGAACTAGAGGTGGGTTATGGGAAGAAAGAATGGGCAGTTTTTAAAAAATAATCAAATAAAGTTAAATTGTCATTTGAATATGCACAACTGAATTTTTTTTTTTTTTTTTTTTTTCTTTTGAAACAGAGTCTCCCTCTGTCACCAGGCGCCCAGGCTGGAGTGCAGTCTCAGCTCACTGCAACCTCCGCCTCCTGGGTTCAAGCAATTCTCCTGCCTCAGCCTCCCAAGTAGCTGGGATTATAGGCAACCACCACCACACCCAGCTAATTTTTTGTATTCTCAATAGAGACGGGGTTTCACCATGTTGGCAAGGCTGGTCTGGAACTCCTGACCTCAGGTGATCCACCTGCCTTGGCCTCCCAAAGTGCTGGGATTACAAGCATTAGCCACCTCGCCCAGCCTGAAATGATTTTAAATGTGAAGGATACTTGCCAGTGGTAGGTCCTGAACCATCTTTTATGCTATTTGTCTCCCTATTTTAAAAAAGGGTTTAGTATAGCAATCTAGTACAACACTTTGCACATAGACATTCAGTATATGTTGTGAAATTAAATTGAGCCATCTACATTTTGGAGAAGAGAAATTCTTATGAACAGTGGCCTCCCATTTTGTCCTTCCTGTGACCCTTCATATATAGTTATTTTAATAATAAACCTGGTCTGGTATGGGATCACTTGTTTCAGAGTTGCCGGCCTTCTGATGCTTCTGCTACCAGATCTCGACCTCTGGCCACTGGACCATCTTCCCAGTCCCACCAAGAGAAAACCACAGACTCTGGGATCACTGAAGGCATGTCTCCCTGTTCTGACTCCTTCCATTCATCAAGTATAACTGTACCACAGGCATCTCATGCTGAGAGTAGATATACGGAAGTACCCCAGATCCTTTTGGTGATAATAAATAAGTTAAATCAGGAAGTAGTTGAGATCATAAGAATATCCAGCATACTTTTATTTCCAAGGAAAAAACCAACATTTGGTTAAACCCAAAGAAGAGCCTTTCTTACCCATATTATGTAATTCTTGGTAAGTGATAGCTTACCAAGCCCTCTTAATAAAAAAGTTTGTCCTTAGCCCTACTTTTTCTCAAATACCTACAGGCATATGGCAGCTGGTACCTCCATCACTGTTTAAAGGCTCACATATCAGTCAGGGAAACGAGGCTGAGGAAAGAGAGGAGCCTTGGGACCACACTGAAAAAACTGAAGAGGAGCCGGTCTCTGGCAGCTCAGGAAGCTGGGACCAGTCGAGCCAGCCAGTGTTTGAGAATGTGAACGTTAAATCTTTTGACAGATGTACTGGCCACTTGGCTGAGCACACACAGTGTGGGAAGCCACAGGAAAGTACTGGGAGGAGTTCTTTTCTCAGAGCTGCCCAGGGTAGCGGGGACACATCTAGGCACTGTCTGCCTACCCTAGCAGATGCCAAAGGTCTCCAGGACATTGGGGGCACTGTGAACTACTTCTGGGGTATTCCATTCTGCCCTGATGGAGTAGACCCTAACCAGTATACCAAGGTCATTCTCTGCCAGTTGGAGGTTTATCAAAAGAGCCTGAAAATGGCTCAGAGGCAGCTCTTTAAAAAAAAAGATTTTGGGGAACCAGTGTTACCTAGACCTCCTTCTCTGATCCAGAATGAATGTGGCCAAGGAGAGCAGGCTAGTGAAAAAAATGAATGCATCTCAGAAGATATGGGAGATGAAGACAAAGAGGAGAGGCAGGAGTCTAGGGCATCTGACTGGCACTCAAAAACCAAGGATTTCCAGGAAAGCTCAATTAAAAGCTTGAAAGAGAAACTTTTGTTGGAGGAAGAACCAACAACCAGTCATGGTCAGGTAAGGGTCAGTGATGCTGTAATTAAGGATGATTTATTCACAGATTAAAACAAGGATTATTTTAGCTATCTGTTATTTTTGTGGTCTTCCCCTCCTTGATTATTAAAGTAATACATGTTCACTGTAGAAAATTAGGAAAGTACAGGAGAATATAAAGAAGAAAAAAACTACCATTTCTTTTTTTTTTTGAGTTGGAGTCTCGCTCTGTCGCCTAGGCGCGATCTTCGGCTCACTGCAACCTCCACCTCCCAGGTTCAAGCAATTGTCCTGCCTCAGCCTCCTGAGTAGCTGGTATTACAGGCACCTGCCATTATGCCGGCTCATTTTTGTATTTTTAGTAGAGATGGAGTTTTACCGTGTTGGCTAGGCTAGTCTTGAACTCCTGACCTTGTGATCTGCACGCTTCAGCCTCCCAAAATGTTGGGATTACAGGCATGAGCCGCCACACCTGACCAGTCATCATTATTTCTATGCATACAAAAATACGTTAACAATTTTTTTGAACAAAATGAAGACTCTTCTGTATAAGTTTTGTTCCTCCCCCTACTTTATAGTTTATCTTAGATCAGTTCTTAATATATGACATATTCTACCATAGATACACCATAATTTATTTTTTGTTTAAATTTTTTTTTTTTGAAGACAAGGTCTCGCTCTGTCACCCAGGCTAGAGTGCACCAGTACCATCTTGGGTCCTTGCAGCCTCCACCTCTGGGCTCAAGCGATCCCCCAACCTCAGCCCCTTGCAGTAGCTGGGACCACAGGTGCACGCTGCCAGGCTGAGCTAATTTTTATATTTTTTGTAGAGATGGGGTTTCATCTTGTTGCCCAGGCTGTTCTCGAACTCCTGTACTCAAGCCATCCATCCACCTCGGTCTCCTAAAGTGCTGGCAATATAGGCATGAGCCAACACGCCTGGTGTAAAAAAAATTTTTTTTTTTTTGAGATGGATGCATTTTATTGACCTTTTCGTAGAATTGTTGGTTTTTTTTGTTTGTTTCTTTTTTTTTGAGACGGAGTCTCACTCTGTTGCGCAGGCTGGAGTGCAGTGGCGCGATCTCTGCTCACTGTAAGCTCCGCCTCCCAGGTTCACGCCATTCTCCTGCCTCTGCCAGCCGAGTAGCTGGGACTACAGGCGCCCGCCACCACGCCCGGCTAATTTTTTGTAGTTTTAGTAGAGATGGAGTTTCACCGTGTTAGCCAGGATGGTCTTGATCTCCTGACCTCGTGATCTGCCTGCCTTGGCCTCCCAAAGTGTTGGGATTACAGGCGTGAGTCACCGCGCCCAGCGTAAAAATTTTTATTATTTCTAAAAAGTTAAATTTTTGAATAGGTAACAATATTCACATGGCTCAAAATTCAAAAATACATAAGTAAAAAGTCTTAACTTTTCTCACTATCACCCAGCCAGCCAGTTCCCCTCTCTGGACTCAATTTGTGTTACTAGTTCTAGCATATCCTTCCAAGATACTTTATCTGGTACAAGCAGAATACATATTCTTTTCCATACCTTCTTTTACACAAATGATTTACACATTATTTTCTACTTTTTTCATTTAATATCCTAATGAGATCATTACATAACAGTATATAAAGAATTTCTTCATCTTTTTTTTTTGGATGTGAAAAATACCATATATGGATTTGTCAGAGTTTACTATTACAAATAGTAAAATGTCCAGAAGACATTTCATCCACATGGAAGATATTTGTATTATATGATAATTTTCTGTAACTAATTGGTGGACCAAAAAATGTATTTGTAATTTCATTAGCTGTTGCCAAATTGCCCTCCATAGAGATCATGTACATTTACCTTCCCACTGGCAGTGTATGAATACTAGTTTCTGCATACCCACAGTAATGCAGTATTGTCAGACTTCGTGATCTTTGCCAGTCTTGAGAGATGAAAAATGGCGTCTCAGTATAGTCTTAATTTGCATGTCTCTTACTATTAGTGAGCCTGAACTTTTTTCTCACATGTCTAAGACCCATTTGTATTTACTTTTTTGTGTGTTAGATCTTAATGATCATTTTTCTTTTTTGATAATCTGTTGATTTGTGGATACTTTTTATATCGTAGAGAAAGTAGTCCTTTGTGGTATGAAGTAAGGATAGTTTCCCAGTTATTTTTTCCCACTGCATAATGGTGTATATTTCCTATTTTGCTTGTAGTGGTTTTGAATAATTTATTGAAACCAATCTTCTTTTTGGTATGTTTAGTTTGCTTTTTCTGACGTAGCTTGATTATATTGTATATGAAAGCTTATCTCTTATTTTTCCCTTTGAATATTATAAAAGCAATACTATAATCTCTTTATATATAAATTCTAATTTTAAAGAGTATTCTGTTTTATGACTATACTGTTTTTTCTTGCTATTTCTGTTACCAGACTTTGACTTTTGGTTTTGTTTTATTATTGTGTTATTCTGTCTTTCTTGTGTTATGATAAAGGTTCAAGAAATGGTAACTTTGAGGAGCTTCATAGAATAGAGAGCATGGATTTGGAGTTGAGTTCTGATTTTTGTGTTTAAGTAATTTGTGTGTTTTTGAGCAAGTCACTTAACCTGTTTGAATCCCAGTTTTACATCTATAAAATGGGAATAACAATTCCTATCTTTTGACTGTTACTTTAATGATTGAAGTGAATTTGTGTGAAATGTCTACTACAATGCTTAGGAGTTTATAGGCACTGAACAACTGGTAATTCTCTCTAAGAGATCGAAGGTCATTCACTGGGGGATGCCTCTAGGAATCATTATTTCCTAGTAACCATCTTCATTCACATTCTGGAAAGATTGTTGTCTGGGAAGAGAAGGCATTTTTATTTTTTTAATTTTTTTTTTTTTTCCGAAGGTATATCAGCGAAGAAGCCATTTTTAAGAAATAGTTCTTTTAGTGACTGGCTTCTTTTCCAAAGGAAAGTTACATGATGCTTATGATAAATGTTCAGTTTGTTCTTTCCAATTCAGAGATGCTGTTTCTTAAAATAATACATTAACTCCAAAGAGTGACACTTAATGATTTATTATAATTCAAGTTGTTAGCTTGAAAGATCCCAGGGGCCAGAGCTCTAGATCATAGACTTGTGTCAAGTTCTGTGTTGTGTCAAGTTTGAAGGTAGTGCCTTTGCAGTAGCCTGGAAGTAGTCAAAATCTAGTGGATGGTCTTAATTAGATTGAAGTTCTTTGACTCTTAACTTCATGACCAGGCCACCAAATACTACAGGTAGTATTATCAGTTGGTACTATTTGCTACAGTAAACTGAATTAAGCTAGCTTAATTAAAAAGAGGACTGGGCTAGGCATAATGGCTAATGCCTGTAATCCCAGCACTTTGGGAAGCTGAGGCAGGAGAATTCATTTGAGTTTGGGAGTTTGAGACCAACCTAGGCAACATAGTGAGACCTCGTCTCTACTAAAATACATAAATTAAGGAAACGGGGTATCTCAGAAGTTTTGTTGTTTTTTTTTTGAGATGGAGTCTCGCTCTGTCGCCCAGGCTGGAGTGCAGTGGTGCAGTCTTGGCTCACTGCAAACTTTGCCTCCCGGGTTCATGCCATTCTTCTGCCTCAGCCTCCCGAGTAGCTGGGACTACAAGTGCCTGCCACCACACCCGGCCAATTTTTTTGTATTTTTAGTAGAGACGGGGTTTCACCATGTTAGCCAGGATGATCTCGATCTCCTGACCTCGTGATCCGCCCACCTCGGCCTCCCAAAGTGCTGGGATTACAGGCGTGAGCCACTGCGTCTGGCCTCAGAAGTTTTAAAATAGAACTATAACCAGGCCCAAAGAAGGTACCGGGCATCTGTGAGTTTTCTATATCTCATGGTTATATTGTGTCTGCTTCATTTTTCTCCCTGCAGACTTAGCATTCTTTGCTTTTGTTTTTCAGGTGCAGGTTGAAGACACTGATCTTATAGTTCTCAAAACTTATTACAGGTTACAGGAGACTTAATCTCTCCCAATTCCAATTTTAAATTTTCAGGAAAGGATTTATGGCTCATTTGGTATCAGTAGCCTAGTCAGCTGTGGCCTGAAGGAAGTTACTTGTCAAATTGGCTGTGAGCCCACTGCTAGTGGGATGGGAGGGGTGAGGGACAGTCCTCAGTGAAAGGAGACAAAGCAGACAACCTAGTAAGTGTATGGACATTAACTTTAATTTTAGAAATCACTTGGAGATGTTAAAAAATGCTGAAAAGTTTAAAGAGTATTACGTATTTTTTGTATGGTTCAGATCATATTATTTAACATTATGTAAACATTTTCTCATGTTAAATTATATATTTTACTTTTAATGGCTATATTATATTTCAGTTTATGAATTTACCATAATATTTTAAACATTTTTCTATTGCTGGATATTTCAGTTGTGATATCTTTCTACATGAAACTTTTCTTTATTCCTGATCAGTGTACTTAGGCATAAGAGCCAGAAAAATGATGGGTTAGAGTTACGAACATAAAGACTTGATATTTATTGCCAAATTGCTTGTCAGAAAGGCTATTAAAATTTGTATTCTCTCTATTTGGCAATGTATGAGAATATCTAGTTCACTGCAACCTTGCCAACAAGTAATTGTACCTTTAAAAAACAAACTTACTAATTTTATAGGCAAATAATGAAAGTCTTATGATTGTAATTTTACCTCTCGATCTTTTGCTTTCAGGAAATGTGGGTAGAAAGAATTCATTTGTTAAACATTCTCTATTGAACACAGCTTTGCTGGAGCTGCTTGTATTTGAGACTTCTTGGTTGATAGAGATAGCAGGAGAGTCTCAAAAATAGGGACTCAGAAAAACATTCACTTTGAGGCACATGACTTAGTCTATATTAAGGTTTATAAAGCTTTAGAATCAAGATGATAACTGGTTTTTGACATCACTGAGACAAGATAAAGTTGCTAATGAAGGCCTATAGATCACCCTGAGAGCATTATGGCAAGGAGTTGGAAGGGGTAGTATGTTGATGTGACTACTACTTTGCAGAATCTGATTCTTAATTTTTCAGTCAGGATAGTGGAATTTTTTTAATCAGAAATGACCAGATTGTGTGGAGTTGTAAAAACTGACTTTGATTTGCCAAACTTCACGCTGATGTATGTATACAAAATGACAATTTATTAATTTATTATGGAATAGAGACATTTTCAGTGACCAGAATACTCAGATCTGTATCTATTGTCTTCTAGAATGACAGTATCTGGAGGGTTGAAATAATCAGAAAATGGAATTTTTAAGGGATGGCTCAACTAGTCTGTGGAAAAAGCTAATAAACTACCACTGTCATACAATAGAGGACATTTATGTGATGACCAAATGATGTCTCTATTCATTTTCACTTTTTTTTTTTTTAAAAGATGGAGTTTCACTCTGTCACCCAGGCTGGAGTGCAGTGACATGATCTCGGCTCTCTGCAACCTCCACCTCCTGGGTTCAAGCGATTTCCTGCCTCAGCCTCCTGAGTAGCTGGGATCACAGGCATGCATCACCACGCCTGGCTATTTTTTGTATTTTTTGTAGAGACGGGGTTTCACCATGTTGACCAGTCTGGTCTTGAACTCCTGGCCTCTAGTCATCTGCCCACCTTGGCCTCCCAAAGTTCTCAGATTACAGATGTGATCCACTCTGCCCAGCCCCAATTTCACTTTTAAGTATTAAAAATACCCTTTGATAATAATTCTTTGAATTTTTTTTTTTTTTAAAGATTCAATGCAAACCATCCCTTCCTTATTAACATATTTCTTCAGGAAGAAGATGTCTTGATTAGGCCACAGATTCCTTGAATTTTTATTTCTGCCATGCTTTCCTGTTCACCTTGATTACATTTGGGTAGTCTAAATTTTATTTGCTTATTTTGCTATCCTATGTTCATATTCTGGAGGAACCTCACTTTATGTTCATATTACTGCCATTGAGGTATAAATTTCTAAATTAAAATAATGTTTTGAAATGAAGACATTCTTGGGATTCTACATTGAAATGATTAGGAAGAGGATTATCTGATTAAGCAATATAATAGTAGTTTTGAGTGCATGGGTTTTAGAGTCAGGCAAGTCTCAGCTCTACGATTTTGACCAACTATATGATTTGGGGCAAATTGTTTAACTTCTCGAAGTTTCACTTATTTTTAAAATAATTTAATGGTTTTTGCTTCTTAAGTGGCTTGTGAAAATTAAAGGAGATAAGGAATGTAAAGTGATTAGCACAGGCCTGACACTGAATAGAAGCACAATAATTTTGTTTGTTTGAGACAGAGTTTCGCTCGTCACCCAGGCTGGAGTGCAGTGGCGCGATCTCGGCTCTCTGCAACCTCTACCTTCTGGGTTCAAGTGATTCTCCTGTCTCAGCCTCCCGAGTAGCTGGGATTAGAGGCGTGAGCCACCATGCCCGGCTAATTTTGTATTTGTAGTAGAGACGGGCTTTCTCCATGTTGGTCAGGCTGGTCTTGAACTCCTGACCTCAGGTGATCCGCCTGCCTCGGCCTCCCAAAGTGCTGGGATTACAGGCGTGAGCCACTGCACCTGGCCAAAGCACAATAATTTTTTAAAACAATTACACTGAGAAGATTTGAGATATGCTTTAGCCTAAGGCAGAGATGGAGGTGCCTTATAACTAACTTACTGGTGTCTTGATTGCATCTAAAGACCAAGGCTAGTCATTATAAAATTCTATTAAATGGACACTAGGTGTCAGCATTTCCTTCCTTCCTTCCTTCCTTCCTTCCTTCCTTCCTTCCTCCCTCCCTCCCTCCCTCCCTCCCTTCCTCCCTTCCTCCCTTCCCTTCCCTTCCTTCCCTTCCTTCCTTTCCTTCCTTCCTTTCCTTCCTTCCCTT